TTTTTCCTTTTCACTATCGCTGTATGTCTATTATTGCCACCTGCTCATCCAGGAAGAGGGTGTCCTGCAAAGTCAATAAATCAATGCAATCAGCTGGTTTTCCTTAGATAGAAAACTTTGAACCAGTCATATAAATAAAAATAAACTGAACTGAATTTAATTGAATAAAATCCTTACACTGATGCTTAAAAATAATGTCTTTCACAAGTTTGCATATCCAAGTCATTAACATGTAGGTTATTGCAATATGAGGGTTTTAGTGATGCACTCAAATCCCTTTTTTTAGGTCTGAATACTATGATAAATTCAATTCAGTTTATTTATATAGCACCAATTCACAACACGTCATCTCAAGGCACTTTACAGTTCACCAGATCATATAGTCAATTTGATTGAAAAGTTTTCTATCTAAGGAAAACCAGTTGATTTCATCGACTCATCAACTCGAAGATAATCCCTCACACTAAGCATGCTTGTAGCGACAGTGGAGAGGAAAAACTCCCTTTTAACAGGAAGAAACCTCCAGCAGAACCAGGCTCAGTGTGAGCGGCCATCTGCTGAGGCCGACTGGGGTTCAAGGAGACAGAAGCAGACAAACAAAAAGAAGAGATTATTAAATCTTTAGTGAATTTGAAAAAATAATCTTTCAAAGTGTTCTTGACCATATTTGAGGTTTAAAATACCATGTTATTTTTGTTTTTTTAAACCATGAAAACCACACAAATAAAATAAGCTCTACCATTTTCAAAATTTAGCCAAATTTAGCATCAAGCTTACAAAAAAGTTTTATTTGTGTTTTAATTTTCAACTAATCAGAAAAGAAAATCTAAATGAAATTCCACAGACTCAAAGTCCAAAATTAATGGTATTCATTATGACATCAATGCTATGTAGACTTTTTTTTAAATCACCCCTACTGGTATGTTAGAAAAATAAAAAGTGTTTTATTTTCTGTATTCCTCTTATTGTAACTTCAAGACATTATCCTAAATTTTTTTCATATGCATTACAGTATCTTAAAGTAAAGTTCTGTAATGTCACCCTTCCTTCTAATAGGAGCTCATGCTGAGGCTTATTTAGCACCAACATGCCAGCAATGAAAAAAAGTTTTCTCTAAACAAAGCAGGAGGTAAAAAGTCTGGCTTATTTAAACTGTAAGACAAGCAAAGTGAATCAAATAATAGATTAATTTCCCCTTCGTCAGTCTCCACAAACCCTAAACAACCTAACCGCTGCATAGAGAATGAGAGGTTAACACATGTTGATGCCAAAAATCAGTCTGTAATCTTTAATCACGCTACAAAGCTGGGCCTCAGCTGTCAGTCATTTGTCAACCCTGACAGGAAATCAAAGCCCACACGAAGTCGTCAGAAACATACCATGTGTTTGATCGGTCAGAGCAAACTCTGTATTTGTGCTGAGCTGGCTGACACATTGAAAGTTCTGACGCTGTTTGAAACTTTGCCAAATCTTTATGCCTCAACATTTAAGCTATTTTTTCCTACATCTTCCTTTGGACAGGACACTAATGAGGATGCTTCTTTTCTGAGAGAGAATTAATATCCGTGTTTGTTTGATGATTATTACCCAGCAGGCATGGCCACATCTGATAAACCTTTCCACACTGGCATTGGCAGAGCTTTTATAAAAAAGGTCTAAAACTTACCTGTCAAAGTTTGCTTTTTTATTTTAATCCATAGATTATAGTAGTGGAAAATGGAAAACTTTTTTGATTATGGATATTATATTGATCGATAAAATCTTTTCATTTTCATGAAACTTACAGTCAGAGTTGCTCTGGTTATCCTGAGCTATCTCTGCATTAATGCTGCTAAAGGCATAGACTGCTGGAGGACATAGAGGCCAATTTTCCTCATTCTGCCTCATTTTACCTCTATTCTCATATTCTGCAGTATTTACTAGCCCAACGTTATGTTCTTTCTTTCTTTTTGCGTCTTTGTAGCTTCATCTGGTCTGTTCCTGTTTGGCTTTGACTCCATCCGGGAGAGAAATATCAGCTGCGCTGCTGCCATCATGATTGTAGATAATAGAATTTGGCCTATTTCTCAGTGTTTATTCTTGTTTATCTCCTAGATATGAAATTAGACTCAGATTCTATTATGACTAATTCTTTGTTCCCATCGTTTTGACAAAACAAACCGGCTCAGGGATCATCTGCTTAACTTTTTCTTTCCCAGACAGAGATACCTCTGGAGGGACTTTATTGTTACAATTTGTAACATAAAAAGTATCAGTGCTTCTATGTTCCTCTTGTATGTCTGTTTTTATCTCCTTGAACCCTAAGTCAGCCTCGGCAGAAGGCTGCTCACACTAAAGTGGGGTTTTTCTTTTTAAAAGGCAGTTTTTCCTCTCCGCTGTCACTACATGCTTCTCCGGGAGAAGCGCGTCCTTCGAAGTCAAAAACTCGATATACAGTATTTAACTGTTTTTCCTTAGAAATAAAACATTCTTACTAATCTATAATAATCATAATTAACCTTTATGTATCTCACATTGGAGAAATTTACCTCTGCATTTAACCCATCCCCTTTGGGAGCAGTGGGCTGCCATTGTGCAGCGCTCAGGGAGTAATCAGGGGTTAGGCATCTTGCTCAGGAACCCAGAGTGCAGGCAGTGGGATTCGAATCAGGTACTTGCAACCTTCTCAGAGCACAAGCACACTGCTCTAACCCACCAGGCCAACACTCCCCCATAATCTGGTTTAATTGTCTCTGTAAAGTGCCTTTAAGTGACATATGTTGTGAATTGGTGCCTTATGAATACATTGAATAAAACAACAGGTATCCTACACATACAGCTAGAGCTACACCTGAACAAACTGGATCACACCAGACTCAGCTTTTAAAATGGCCCAGGCATAAATAAGTATCCGTGGCAATACCACAAATGTGATGTTCTCTACCAGAGTTGACTCTCTTCTGCCAAAAACAGACTGACATGACAAATGATTTGCAGGAGAGTTGTTTTACAAAGTATAGATTCAGAATGGGGAAATACCTTTGCAGGCCACACTTTTCAGATTTTTCTTTGAATTATTTAAAACAACATATATATATATATTCTATACACATCACATTGATGGCCTTATATTGGTCTGACTTAAACAATTACAAAGAAAGTTTCAGGTTTTTAATTGGAAAAAAAGAGTAAAAGCAATAAAACATATTTTGGAAGAAAGTTTGATAATCATTTATTGTAATAGTTACTCTTTTGTGCCCATATTCTTTAGACTGCTGTATTTTATTTAGCCTGTGTGTGTTTTTTTTAAGTTATGATGTAGACGTGTTATCTGGATCTTAATACAATGCAAAAAGCGCAGTGTGGAGGTTTGGCCGCAGCTCTACAGGAAAGGCGGTGTGGTGGATGTAGGGGGAGCCAGGCTCCTGCAACTTCTATGAGACTTGCATCAAGTTGGAAAGTTTTAGTCGGAAACGCAGTTCTTTCACACTACTGCCGCCCATTTGGTAGCAGAAAAAAAATCTAAGAAGTAAAAGAAAAATCTGAAATTCTTTCACGAATTTCCAGCTCAATTTGTGATTTTTTTTTTTTAAATCGATTGCCAAAGTGCCATCACTAGATTAATAACTATTTCTGTGTGTACTTTTTGAGTTAAAAAAAATATATATTTTATAAAAAAATTAGTTTTTAATATATATTTTTAAACAAAATAAAATATGCCATCTGGAACTCATAATTAAAAACTCAAAATTCATTACGATCCATGACTAACTACAATTATTTTGGTATTTATTTAATTCAACGTTTAGAACGTTTGATTCCTGAATGCACAGATAAATACAGGGACAGCCTAAAAGATTGTATAAATTATACAGAGATTATATAAATTAGTACGGTAGAGGATTAGGCCCACTGGAAAAAAAAAAAAGTTAACAGATTTTTTTATTTTATTTCCATATAATATGACAAAAAAAGTCAGAATTCTGACTTTAATCTCAAAATTCTCACTTTTTCCTTAGAATTCTGACTTTAATCTCAGAATTCTGACTTTTTCCTTCCAATTTTGACGTTAACCTCAGAATTCTGAATGAATTCCGACTGCTAAAAAACATGTTAGCATCAAGGTGTAGCCATGTCTGTTTTAAAGACTACTAGCTCTCTTGTTTTAATCACCTTCTGCTTTTATTAATGAAATAGCATGACTTTTTACGTGCCCGCGGGCATCTAATTCATAAGCCACACTGATTCAAACTCACAGCTTTGTCAGTGAAGCTGAGTGCTCCCACATCTCTTCATGGTCCCCATCTACATTAAGATCCAAAATTCTGAGATTAAAGTCAGAATTCTGACTTTTTTTTCTCATATTAAACTGAAATGATATTTAAAAATCAGTTAACATTTTTTTTTATTTCTTCATTGGCCCTAATAATTTTCCATACTAAATAAAAAATATATTTTTTTTAAACAAATAACAATAAGTTCAACATTATCTAATCCATTATTTTCCAAATTGTTGTCATTATTTTCTAAATTGTTGTAAGACTTTATATTTATAGATACATTTTGTTGATTCACTTATTGTCTCCTTGAACCCCAGTCGGCCTCAGCAGATGGCCTCTCACACTGAGCCTGGTTCTGCTGGAGGTTTCTTCCTGTTAAAAGGTAGTTTTTCCTCTCCACTGTTGCTACAAGCATGCTTAGTGTGAGGGATTGCTGAGTTGATGCTATCAACTAGTTTTCCTTAGATAGAAAACTTTTCATGATCTGGTGAACTGTAAAGATCCTTGAGATGACATGATGTGAATTGGCACTATTTAAATAAACCGAATTGAATTATTAAATATATAAATTTCTGATCTTAATTAGGCTGTCTAATAATTAAATGTTGATCTATTAGTCCTTTAATGATAGGTTAGTTTTTGGCGCTCCAAAATCCCAGCAGGCTTTTATTTTGTTAACAAAGCGGAAGTTGTGTCTGTGTGTCTCAGTGTTTTTTTGCTCGGTGGAGCCCTGAGCTTCAGAGAATATGCAGACTCTCTGATTTAAGAGGGGGAGGTTTGCAGCTGCCCGGGACTCTCTCGTTGAGGAATAGTACTTATTTCCCAGGAATGGTCAAAAGTATTTTACCGAGAATCATTTCGCTGCCACTTTTCCTTGTGAACAGCGGCACACAGAGCGGTTTTTCTCCTGTTTTCCCCCGAGTTGGAGAACTTTAGGACGCAGTTTCTTCAAAGTGAGGAGCGTAGATTTCATCGCGTGCGAGACGTGTTGGGATAAAAGGACTACAAAAAACAAAAACAAAAACTGCACTCATTAGTTTCTTCTGTGCTGATCATCTTAGGTGAGATATATAAGGTGTTCGGAGCGGGATAAAAACCAAACTTTAAATACCGACATTTCACTAACGTTTTTTTTTTCCTCCCTGAATCTGGAGGAGGAGGAGGGGGGCACATTCTTTTCGTCCATCGATGAAGTTTGGTTTAGAAATGCGCAAACTAGTTAGCTAGAAGTCGATATCTCGACGCAACAGAGCCTCGATAACGGACCACACTTTAAAAGGCTGGATTCACCATTTTTCTTTTTTTTCTGGAGTTTTCCTTGCATCTAATCTCAGCTGAGGACTCTTCCTTATTCCTCTGACCAACTCTGCCCGCCATCAAGGTGAGCTGCTAGTTTTATCCCCTCTTTCTCTTTGATTCCTTTGTTTACCTGTTAAAGGGGTTAGCCATTGTTTGCCAGCCTTCCAAGTTAATGCTGTTAATTGGAATTATTTGCTAAAACAGAGGCTTAGAGAAAGGGATTGTTTTTTTTTATTTTTATTTTGTTCTTTATATCAGTATATCTTCATGTTTGATATCTTTTTTTTGTTTTGCCTTTAAAGGACACTTTTATTAGTGCAATCCAAGCAATGTAGTCACAGAAGATCCTCCCCCATGCTTGTAAATAAAATAACTTTTAAACATAAGATGTCTCTTTTAGCCCTGCTTAATCCAACCATCTCTGAGCCTCTTAGGCAAAATTATATAAAAATTTCTAGATCTGTAAAAAAATTAAATTCAGTTTATTTCTATAGCGCCAATTCACAACACATGTCATCTCAAGGCTTTTTACAGTTCACCAGATCATCCAGTCAAATTGATTCAAAGTTTTCTATCTAAAAAAAAACAGTTGATTACATTCACTCATTGACTGGAATGCAATCCCTCACACTTAGCATGCTTGTAGCGACAGTGGAGAGAAAAAAACTCCCTTCTAACAGGAAGAAACCTCCAGCAGAACCAGGCTCGGTGTGAGCGGCTATCTGCTGAGGCCACCTGGGTTTCAATGAGAAAGAAACGGAGATACAAAAAAACAACTGTAAAAGGCGGCCCTATCCAGGAAACACACAGCCAGGCAGACGATCTCCGAGCCAGCTCTTATGTCAGAGGGTGAAGAGAGCACATCCAGTTAGTCACAGTCAGAGAAACAGGACTACACTGGAAAAACAGGCCAATCTCCAGCATCTATAATCAAAGGTGTTGATGGCAGCAGCACAGCTGATATTTCTCTCCAGGATGGAGTCACAGCCAAACAGGAACAGACAAGGCAAAACTACTATGAGGAAAAAGCAGAGAGAGCAGAACGTTAGAGATTGAATTACCAGATTCTGCAGAGTGGGAGAATAGAGATAGAATGAAGCAAAATGGTAAAATAGGGGTCCCTATGTCCTCCAGCAGTCTAAGCCTATAGCAGCATAACTATAGAGATAGCTCAGGATGTTAAATATCTACTAAAGCCTCTCGAAAATGTCAGAGATGGGTCTTGCTGATGAGAGTGGTATCTGTGAGTAAAGCTTGCGTTCATGTTATTTAAAGCTCTAAATTTGGTTTTATAAAAGGAGAGGCAGGAAGCCTGCAGAGACTACTTCGATAAGAGGGAAAAGAGGGAATTTTTTTATAGCATAATAATAGATGAGGAAGAGTCTTGCCCTGTAATTAACCTGGCTGCACCTTAGCATTTAAATATTGAGCTTAATGTTATGTTCCCAATGTTTAAGATTTGGTTTGTTTAAATGTTTTATATCTTATTTCAACATTTGGTGCTGTTTAAAGTGTTGTTTTTTTCTTATCTCAGTTCCTTTCAGAAAGGTTTGATGGGCAAACCAAATGGCAGAGTGTCAGGTGGCTTGAAAGAGGTTTACACTACATTTTAGTATAATCACATGACACCTGATACACTGCCATGGCATGCTGGGTGCTGGGACCCCCCCCTTCCCAATCCCTTTTACTGATAGTGTAGCTGTAAGGGTTAAAAAAAAAAGCAGGAAGGTGTCTGTTTTTGTGAAAACAGTAGCCTCAGGCAGATTGGTCTGATGCTCTTGTGTCCATTGGGCTGCAGCCATGTGCAGACTGGCCTCTTGCTAGCTGCAAGTGCAGGCGGAAGTGGAAAAGGGTGGGGAGGCAGGGGTACAGAGTTGGGGAGCTGAGGAATTTTATGCATGGGTGGCAGTGAATGGTGATTATGGTACGGGCTGTGTGATGGGTTAGGCCTGTAACCTTTGTCTTTGTATAATGAGAGCAGCTAAATGTGTCATCCATGTTCTAATCAGTTTAGTCTAACCCTCTTTTTTATTTTTCGGAAGTCCAAGGAAGAAAAAAATGCTTTAATTGCTTCAGATGTTCGACAACAAAATGGGATTTTTACCAAACGTTTAATGATCGTTTGGTAAAAGGTTCTCTTGATTTTCACAGTTTTTTAAACAGATTTTAAAAGCAGGGAATTAAATGATCATCTCTTAATCTTCTGTGACTAAAAGAATTAAAACTAAAAAAGTTAATATGTAAATGTTCCCTGGATATATCTTGGTAAGGAGAAAGTAAACAAAGAAAACAGATCATCACCACTCAGATTCCTCTCTGCTATCAAACTCTTCTCATACTGTAGATCTATCAGAACTAGAAATATAACGGTAAAAATAAGCAATGGCTTTTAATCCATCAAACCTGTTTAGACTTGGAAAAAAGTAAAATGTTCCTATAAACTCCAATTGATCAATAAATATTTAATACAAAATCCCCTGTTGGCAATTATTTGTCATTTCTATTAAAAGGTAAATCACCATCATCATGACTGTTTTTGGAATATTATAAACAATTCAATTTCAATTCAGTTTATATATATATATATATATATATATATATATATATATATATATATATATATATATATATAGCCCCAATTCACCTCCAGGCACTTTAAAAAAAAATTTAACCAGATCACACAGTCAGATTGGTTCAAAGTTTTCTAAGGAAAATCAGTTGATTTCATCGACTCAAAGGCAATCCCTCACATCAAGCATGCTTATAGCGACAGTGGAGAGGAAAAACATTCCTTTACTTTAAATAACACAAGCCAACGGTTTCAATTTATTGACAATTAAAATCTTAGATTTATTAGAATACATACAACTTCTGACAAATATTAAGATATTTTTTTCTTAATGTAATCCTTGAAAAAGCTGACATGGTTGAATAAAAATTTGAATTGTTTTCCTCGGCAGTCAGTCCTTCTAATGAACTTTTATCCATTTACTTTAATACAAATACTGAAAGCAAGAAAATATACAAATGCCCATTTAATTTATGTAATGTCCAATTATAAATATGTATGTAAATATAAATATCTATTGCCAATAAGCATTTTTTTCCCCTGTTAAATCACTTGATATGGTTGAAACCTTGATTTCTATGCCGTAATATTGACTTTGAATTCCCATTTGGAGATTTAATCTTAACAAATAACCAACGGAAAAGGTATTCTCCACCTGCGAGCGTTCAGGCCAAAAAGCATAAAAGGCTTCCTGGTAATTACTATGCAGTTGAAGGTCGATTTGCAGAATGTTTTGTATTTCTTTATCTTTTCAAAGAAAGAAGTAAACATCTTCCAATTGCAGTAAAAAATACAAAGTGTTATCAGTTTTAGGGGTTAGGACTCCCTCTGTGACCAAAGAAACAAAATAATGGCTTGCAAGAGTTAAGATAAAGAAAACAAACATTTAAAATGATTGTATTTCTTTTATTCAAACCAAATGAACAATTATCATTTAGTTAATGTAATGTCCAATTATAAATATGTATGTAAATATAAATATCTATTGCCAATAAACCTTTTTTTTTTCTGTTAAATCACTTGATATGGTTGAAACCTTCATTTCTATGCTGTAATATTGACTTTAAATTCCCATTTGGAGATTTAATCTGAACAAGGTATTCTCCACCTGCAAATGTTCAGACCAAAAAGCATAAAATGCTTCCTGGGTCTGGATTAGTACTTTCCAGGAACATGTTGTCCATATTTAGATCAAACTTCCACTGGAATGGAATCGGCCGTCATGCCTTTAAAGACTCCACTTTCTCCCATTGAGCTGATTCAATGACGAAACGCCAGGGAATCTTCCCCCTCTCCTCTTTGCAGTTCCTCCTGTGTGGCGATTTTCTTGGAGCATTATCAAACGTTGACTCACTGCTTACAGAGCTGCGATGACCAAGCTGTCTTTATCCCCTCCGGACCCCCCTCCTTGACCCAGCTCAGCTGCTCTAACACTAGGCCATTCTTGGAAAGTGAAATCGAATTGGTTTTGAGGGGACACACAATGAGTGTTTCAGAGGAGAACATTCATGAAAGCCATTACCTCCACAGCTGCTTCTGTGTGGGGACTTTATGCGTAAATGTCAATCCTGACGTTTTTTCTTTGTTGTTTTTTTTTACCCAGACAGGATCCTGTTGTTGTGAATTTGCTGAATTTAGTTTATTTTGTTTCCGTTGATTAGCTCTAATCTCAGGCTTCAGTTTCTTAGAAATGAGCTGCTGTGACCAAATGGTTGCAGGGTGTCATTGTCGGTGATGTGAGGGGGGGGGGGGGAACAAGAGTTAAGTGACTAATCCTTCAGCGTGGAAATGATGACCTGGCACCTCTTGCTGTTTACTCAATGGGCTGGATGTCTCTTTTCTTCTATTATTTGTTAAAGCAGTTTTTAAGGGGGGGGGGGGGTGAGGGGTTTGCACAGGTCTTGCTTTGGCGAAGCGTTAAGCTCTGCAGACAGATGCTGCTGAAGTAATGATTTAAACAGATGTTGCATGATGGGGTCACTCATGTGAGTGTTTTCCTGAGGGGACCAGGAATCGTTTAACTCTTTAACTGGGAAAAATACCCAAAAACATACGATAATTACTATGAAGTTAAGGGTCGATTAGCAGAATGTTTTGTTTTTCTTTATCTTTTCAAAGAAAGAAGGAGCAAACATCAGTTTTGGGGGTTAGGATCAACTCGGTGACCAAAGAAGAAACAAAATATTGGCTAGCATGAGTTAAGATAAAGGAAAAAAAACATTTAACACGATTGCATTGCTTTTATTCAAACCAAATACCGCTGTAGAAGTCCTAAGTTTTATTATTTGTTCAAGTTGTGTTAACTTAACCACTGTGTTAAGGTTTATGTTATTGTTAATGTTCCTCCCTTAATACAAACCTGTTGCTTTGTCTGGTTGTAGAAAAGAGCAGAATAGACTTTAAATTGGGTTGACGATAAATTTAGTTTCTCATTTAGTTCTGTTCAATTTCAACTTAATTGATCTCAAATTGGGAAAGTTTCACTACAGCCTGTCTTTAACTAAAATCCATGACATCTTACATTCTGATTTTGGTTTGCATTTAAACTCTCTGATATAAGCACGATGGTAGAAACACTATTATCTGCTTCCACTTATACTTTCTGTGACTTTTTGGTTAATGATTAATGGATCGGTTGTTCTCATGCCTTTTTGTTTTTGACAAGATTTTTTAAGGGATTGCATTCAAGTCAATGAGTCGATGCAATCAACTGGTTTTCCTTAGATAGAAAACTTTGAATCAATTTGACTGGATGATCTGGTGAACTGGTAAGGGCCTTGAGATGACACGTGTTGTGAATTGGTGCTGTAGAAATAAGCCTAATTGAATTGAAACAGTTTTTCTCAAAATAAATAAAAGTATAATTTGATTCTATAATTTCTATCACATCGGTTCAATATCAGCGTCGGTTAATTAAGGAAGCTGCAATATCGGTTCTGTATAGGAAATGTAAATGTTGTATTGCCCCCCCCTGATTTCTGCCCTTACTTTACAAAAACAAGTTATCCTCTAAAAATAAATGTAAGCCAATTATCCAAAGTAGACCTCATTATAGCAGCTTTATATGTTCATAAACTATCCCCAATTTAACTTTATTTTGCTTTTCTGATAAACTGAATAAATAAAAGTCTTCCAGGGTTGTTGTAAGCACCTTTCAGCATAGTGGGTTGATGCGGTAAAAGTTTTCACTACTGCACTGAAATCATGGCAGTTATTTTCTGAGTCTATCAGTCCTTTGGCTGATATCTTTTCTCCCTCCCCCGAAGGTCTTTTCCACCCGCATTTCAAAGAACCAACTTGTTATGCCAACATCAGACCGATGCTATATTACAAGCTTAGCAGCTGCAGAAAACATAATTTTGAAACATGGTTACCTCCTTGTTTTCACACATGAGAGAAACCTGTCTGAGGATCTGGAGTCGGCGCTATGAGAACTTAGACCGCCCATCCTGTGAGTTTTAAGCCCCGTCCACACGAAGCCGAACCCTGGCCTAAACGCACAAATTTTTCACCAAACCAGCCTCTCATCCATACAAAGCCTGCGTTTCGGGGGTCTGTAAACTATCTTTTTTTTATTCAGCCTTCAGAGTGGGAAGATTTTGAAACGCCGTTTTCGCGTTTCCATCTTTAAGCTCTAACCGCATTTTTTTGTACACGCATGCGTCATAGCGTCGCTTCTAAACACGCATGCACGACACAGTATCACAACAACAATGGCGCCGTACTGTGTTGAATGGTTGCTGCTAATGCTACTCACCCTGCTGTCGGGCTTACAGCAGAATCTTCTTCTTCTGGAATATCTCCAGGAAGAACAGAGCAATATCGACGACATAGTTCAGCACCTGAATTTGACTGAACCACGAAAATGGGCCCGCAGGGCAACCATGTATAAATATTAGTGCGCATGCCCAACATTTCGTCGCCTATTTTTGCTTTGGCACGACAGCGCCACTTACAGGCCTGGCATACATTTTGCAGCGTTTTCATGTATTCGTGTGGACGAGCACATTTATTTTACGTCTCCGTCTTTACGACAAACGTTCTGGAAAATATTAGCGTTTCGTGTTTGTTTTGACTTCGTGTGGACGGGGCCTTAGACTCTCAACTCGGGTTGGCCCTGAGTGCTATTGCAGGCAGGTGAACCCAGGTGCTCCTGCCCCATCAGCAGACAGAGAGAGCAACCGTGAAATCTGTCGACCCATCGCGTAGTCATTTTTTTGAGGTTGCAGAACCTCTGCGCGGGGGAAGTGGTCGCGCAAAGAGACCGATTTGATGGTTGCAGGGGCTATGCGTCAGAAGCATAAATTAGCCTTTATTCTATCCCCAAAAAGCGCAGCATCTTTCCTGTCTGCATCTGCCCCTGTGGCGCCCTCTTCTTGTATAATAGTGTACTGCATTAGGATTTGTGTAGATCGTAACAGATGTCAGTAACTCTGTTTCTGTGTCTTCATTTTAAACGGGGGAGCTTTTTCAAACCACTGTTTTATTAGCTTAGCATTCAGTGTGTTAATTTATCTTTATCTTTATTCCCCCCCCCCCCCCCCCCCCCCCCCACCATGCATTAAGCTGTTGCTGAAATGGAGAGCTCCTTCAGTGACAGACTGCTTCACCCTGAATGCACCAGGGAGCGTTATCACAGATCCTTCCTCCCAGCCGCTGTAAAACGCTACAACCTTCACTGATCCCAACAACCTCAATAAGTTGCTACATTCATGCTGAATTTGCACAGTTTCAACCTTAGTCAGTTAAATAACATGCTGCTGTCATTTTGCACATCTCTGATGTTGCTGCTATTTTCAAATATCCATTACTGTAAAAATGTCCATAGCTGGATATTGGATATTTATCCTCCAGGTGCACAGTATTTATACAATTAAAACTAGGGATGCACGATATAATCGGCCCCCTATCGGTATCGGCCTGTATCTGATTTAAAAATGAATATCGGACTTTGGCCACCCCACCGATATTTAACCCGATATTTGATCAGCATCTGAGTTTCTAAAGTCTAAAAAATAAAATAAAATACTACTTCTTCTTCTTCCTCCAAAACTTCTTTTTTACAGACTTAAAAACTTCTAAAGACGAGGGAAAAAATATTGATACATTAAAATATCCCAATATCTTCATATGCTGATATATTGCCATTTAAAAACACCATATCAATCTCTTTTGCTAATGAAATATTGCTATATGTCATTGTTATGGTACGAAATCCCCCGAAAATTCACAAAATTCTGCCATATTTTTATATGTTGATGTATTGACGCTGTATCAATCTATTTTACTAACAAAATCTCACAAGAATTTGCAAAATATCACGAGTTTGTAACAGAACGATGAAATTTCATGAGATTTTGAAAGTAAAATAGATCGATACGTGTTTTTAAAAATCTATTTGATATCAGCATATGAAAATATATTTGAGTATATTATTTTTCAAAGTGTCAGAAATGGATAACAAAACTGCTATTTTCAATGACTACTTATTTTTGTCCAGCTTTAACATCTGTATCGGTTATCGGCTACATGAGTTTTAAAATATCGGCATATCGGATATTGGCCAAAATCCCAATATCGTGCATCCCTAGTTAAAACTCTTTTATAGTTTATCTTTTTACTCTTCACTATTATGTTAGTCTTATACATTTTTCTAAGGTCCATATTTGTGTGACCATTTTATTTCTATAATCTTTCTGCTGCTGTAAACACCTGAAATTCCCTATTGTGGGACAATAGACTGCTAAAATCTGATATTTGTAAAATAGAAAAGAAAATCAGAGTAAGGCTCTAGTACGAGGGTGAGAGGGACCTTAAGTAGTACTCTAACAGCAATCGATAACACTTTTATACCTAAAAGTGTTCATTCATTCTTTTGCTCTTTTAATCAAGCTTTTATCCAGTGAAGATCCCTTTGGTTTTGAAGCCAGAACTTTTTACAGTTTTGGTCCTAATAGCTGCTCCATGTCTGATACTTCATCTGTAAATCCAGAACAAACTGTTTCTCAAGGTTAAGAGAAAATAGAAGTAGATGCCTTTTATTATTCTTTTGATAATCGTCCATTCTTGGTTGTGCCTTTTTTTTAATTTTTTGCAGCTATTTGCATCTGTTGATTGTCTCTCGTCCGGTTATCTTTGTAGTGCGCTGTGAATGACGTGCAGCTGATGTCCCAGGCATCTGAATGGAGTTCCAGTCGTGTACCAGGCATCAGTTGTAGCTCCTTCAGCAGGATGCTGATGAGGACAAGTGGACTGCTGTTTCTGACTTTCTTCACCCAGGTTCTGAGGAGCCACTGCCGCCCCGCTCACCCAGATGAAGGTAAAGTTTGCTTTATTTTTCTTTCAGTTTTTTTTGTTTCGCCTCATGTCCTAGTTTCTGTATCAAACTATTTAAGAGTGACTTATCTCTACTGTTGCCTTGAGGAAGCAGTCCATTGATAAGCACTGCTTTGTTCTGGGTGCAGGAATGTAATCCCAACACGCCTTTGCAGAAGCTTGTTCTTTGTAGCGTTTGAGTTCCCTCACCACCCCCGTCTGCTCGGCCTAATGTGTGTGTTTTTCCCTGTTATGTTGAAGTGCACTTTGTTGCATTATCTATAGCTCAACTTTCTCATTTTTAACACATCATTAAATTGACATGATGCTTTTTTCCAGCTTGTTTGAAATTATTCTACAGCTACGCTAACCAGCAGTGTTCACATGTGAGGATTTACTGTAAAGAATTCAGCCTCCGTGAGTTGGGCTTTAAAGAGTGGAAAGAGGCGGCGTAATCAAATCCTTAAAAATTTGTTTGTTGGAAACTGTCCAGCAGCGTAATAGCTGCCTGAGCTTGTGGGTAGATGGGCTTGAATGTTTATGTTCTGCACTCGGAAGTGGAAACCAACAAAAGAATATGATAAAGTTGAGCATTATAATTGAAGTCATTAAGAAAACGGGTCTCCCATGAGCCCTGGGCCTTAAAATAAACTTGGCGTGGTTGTGTTGAAGGCAGCAGTGTGACAGGGAGGAGTAAATGACTCCCATGTGTAGCCGGAGGGCAGTTCCACTACCTAGCGGCCCCTGCTTCTCTGCTCCTTTTGTAATGAAAAGGTATCTGTTGTCACTAAGAGGAGCTAAGTGCCAAGGAACCATAAATTAGCATTTTTCTGTTAAAGAAAATATGCTACTATAAACCGACCCTTTTCCTCCAGGATAGGTTTTCTAAAAGAGCAACATTTGATTTCTGAGGTGAGGCATAAATTTTTACCCTGACAGTTTTCCACCTAACTCTTAACTGCGACCACCAAATGGTGGTCAAACCTTTTTCTCACACTCCCCCTCTAATGTTTCTCTTGGAATCCTTCACCCCCCCCCCCCCCCCCCCCCCCATTCGATTCCCTGCTGGGTGACGAATGGCTTCAGCTGTCGACAGACAATCGCAGTGGAGGCATTTGGCTGCGTTACTTTGGTCTTTGCTGGAGAAACAAAATAGTTCTGTGGAAATGCATGTTTTATGCATTGTTTGCTTTCTTTTGTTGTGACGTTCCCATAAGAAAAGAGAAAATTCAGGTTTAGTTAAACAAATTGAATTCATTGACGCCTTGACGGTGGAACATAACATCCAGCCCTCCTAAATTTCCTGCTGTCTGTTGTGAAATCCTCAACTCTATGCTGGACGTCTGAGCAAATAAAGCCGCTCTTAGTTTCTCAGAGCTGCTAAAGTTTTGACCATTTTTTTCCCCATACAGAAACAAAGGCGTATATCTTTTCTCATTCTCGTATAAATAGTCAACTAAAAGGAAGTATTTTAAAACCTGAAAAAACAACTAATTATAAGACTTCTGATAATAAATTAGAAATAAACCAAAAACTTTGAAGGGTAACCTTCTTTCTGTTTGAGGTTGAGATAATGAGTAGTCTCTCTAACTTATCTCCACCTCAGCAACAACATTGATCAATTTGCTTACACTTTTTGCATCAAACACTTTTTATTTTTATTCTGCAGGGAACAATTGTCACGAAACACGGCTTATTCCAAGCACTGATAACCTGAAAGTATTAGTAGTAAAGTTTAACTTCTGTCCAATTGGTTCTCTTAGTATTGCTGGTAATTAAGAATGTACTCAAACAACAACAAATGATGTATGTTTTCTAAAGAAATGGTTTATTTGCTTATTTTGTTATTCAATCCATTAATTAACATCCCCTTAAGAATGATGTCTTCAAGTGTACTTTTACCTTCGTCCGGTGGAGAGTGGTTTGAAGCTGCATTGGTATTTGCAAGAGAAGTGTTGTATTTTCCGGACTAATACCCCATTTACGCTACCCTTGAAAAACCGTGCCGAGACCTGTCCGAGCTCAGTAACTGAGATAACTTATCGTGTGTAAATGGAAAGCAAACTGAACTGAACCGAGATAGACACAACCGAACCGAGCTAACTGCAGACCAGTTCCAGAGGTGGGCTCGGCTCGGTTTTTCCCTGGCTCGGTTCTCTGATAACAAGAGCGCATGATCAGAACGCATCATCTCCGTCTGTTTGCACGCCCAGATTCACACTCCATTCCAGTAGTTGGCTGTAATGCCCCTCCGGAATTTGCTTGCCAACCAACACAAAACAGAAGAAGAACAACTAAGTTAAGCCGACTTTCTCAAGTAAATCCACCAAAGGTTGCCGTCTTCGCCTGACCCTCCGCAAACACCGAAGTACAGCAATAATAATCAAGCATAACTTTCTGAATGTGACGGGCGCCGCCATTTTGATTTGCTTGATTCCGTCCTTCTTCGTCTTCTTCTTCTTGTGTTTTATATCGGTTGGTAAATAACTTTTGATGCATTACCGCCACCAACTGCTTGATTTCCTCCTTCAATAGTGGCAGTAATACCGCAGATCGTCACTAGGAGGCGATGAGTCGAGGAACCGAGATAGCGTGATGTGTAAACGGTCGTCAGAACCAAGTTCGGCCTGGTTAACTGATCCGAACTCGGACCGATCTCGGCATGGATCGGCTTTTCAAGTGTAGTGTTAATGGGGGATATGAGTCGCTATGATTCATTGATTTATAACTAGCATTCCCCTATTTGTGTAGCCCTTATTCAACCCAGTATTAAAGCAACTCCTCTGTCACACACATTATATAGTCCCTTCTTCTACAATAAAAACAATAATCCAACCGTTTTTGGCATTTACTTAATCATATTTAGTTACTTTAACACAATTGTTTCATGTTAGCAGGGTAGGAGCGTAAACAATTGAGTTAAATAACTAAATATCATTAAGTAAATGCCAAAAGCAGTTGCATAATTTTTTTTCACTGTAATATCATTTATTGAAAAAAAATAATAAATTGACACTTTCACAGTCTGCACACTTAAAAGCAAAACGTTTAGATAAAATTTTTCAGGAAAAGGAAAATGTAGACCTTATTTAGATTCTGAGTTGTTGCATAAAAAACCCAAATATTTGAACAAGAATTAAAATAAGCAGACGCATTATCCCCAGCAGATGGTAACTACAAACTTATTGAATTTACATTTTATTCCAGTGCTTGAAAAGGTAAAACGGCTCTCTTAGAGCTGAATGTTAATCTAAAAAAGTTGGTGGTCTTAGTTTTACTACATTTGTCAATTAAAGTCCTCACGTTTGATGTAAATGTAGTAAAACTAATTTGAATGATGCATTGACCCACGTAGCTCCCATGTGCTAATCCATGCCGATTGTCTGTGGCTCATTTGAGAATGAAAAGGTCCTCCACAGGAGTGCTTTGACCAAGAGCACTCTCTCTTTGAATGTTTTCACTGATTGCCATCGTGCATTGTCTTAGTTTTTGAGTGCTGATGGCGCCATCTTTTGTCCGGTGGGTCATCCCCTTCATCTCACCAACAGTCTTCACTCTGATGCAGCTTTGGCAACAGAAAAAGGCTGTAATGACTGTTTTCTGACGTTCAGCTGGTGTGGCTACTAGCTCGACGGTCCTAAAATCTGCCATCGCTCCCGATGAGGGCAGGAAATCCCAGAAGTCATTCACGCAGCATATTGCTTCCTATGTTGTAGCCAGAGAAAGTTCAACTGTCTGGTGCCGACCTTTCCTTTTCCTTCAGTAGACCCCCCTCCCTCCAGCCCCATCCGTACTCTCTGTGCTGAAAAAATTCCTTTGTTTTTTTCTGATTAGTTTGATTAGAAATGGTGTCCATCAACTTTAACAGACGGTCGACTGCTTCTATGTTGGAACTTTCCAGGTGGGTTGTTCCTGAAACTGGTCTTTAATCCCTTTTAATCCTATCAGAGTTTCAGGAAGATTAAATAAGATGAAACATCCGCAGTTTAGATGAAGTATGAAAACTTGGCTCATCTCTGACAAGTTCATCATGAGCTTTTTTTCCCTTTTTTTTTAGCTCTAACTTAGCCAGGAAAACTGTTTGGTAGAGGTTGGGTACGTTTTGTTACAGTTTGCTCAGCCGTCTCCTAAGACCAAATAGACTTCCTTTAATGAAGTAAAGAAGCCGTTTTTTTACAGCTTTATGGGTGTTTTATGAGACCTGGAGTTACAACTACCAGCTGGGAAATTGACACCGTCTTATCAGTGGCGTCTCCATTCAGAGAACAGAGACAAAATATCAGACAACCATCAGAAGTGACATACTTTGTGTTTATGGTTATGTAAATGACGCTTATTTTATTTCAACCCACTTTGAGCTGTCGCCTCAATTTCAATGTTGCACAAACCATGGGAAACCTGAAACTCGATGGACACCATTTCTCTTCTCCTCCATGTAAATAATGGATCTGAAAGGAAATTAGTTTAAGCCATTGACTTCAGGGTTTTGGACCTGAATTTGTATTTGTAGAAATGGAAAACAAAAATATCCCTTTTCTGTCCAACATTGGGGGAATTTGTCTTTTGGGTTTAACCCGGAAACTGCAGCAAAGGTCTATTTTCAGGAGCTGTTCAAACCGATGATCTTGTAGCCTCTCCAGGACACAAAAGCAAGATTATTGGATACGCCAAACCCATATTTGTACTTATTTATATGGTCAGTACATCTCTGCAGTGTGAGTGCAATAATCCAAGTCGACTGCTGTGTATTCTTCCGTTAGCTCTCTACTGTGCAGATATTTTTATATCTAAAGGAAACATATTCCAGGACATTACAACTTTTTCCTTTTTTTATGCTTTTTTGGTACTATATACACTCTTTTTATATTGTTTGTCAGATTTTTAACTTTAATGGCATTTTGCTTGAACTCTTTGTACTCTATAAAAGCTAGTGGAACCAGAATTTAAATGAAAAGCGTAATCCAAAGGGATAAATAAAGTCTAGTCCAAGTCTAAACCTAATTT